TAAAACAAACGGTAACTTATGTGAAGAAGAAGAATAACATATCACTAGTGTAAGTTGTAATCTTCTTTCGCGATTATTATCTCCTCCATCATTTTATTTTTGGTAACATTTTTACCTCATCAAATAGTTTTTAATATAATCAGTTGCCTTTCTAAAGCCAAAATCATCTCAAACAATTACCAGAAAAACACTGGAAAGAAAACAGTGGCCCAGTGCATGATTAAAATCAGGTAGGATACTCACCCGATACAGGGTATGACCCCATTCAAACCATGAAGTAATTGAAATAAAGCAAACAAGAATATTTTTTAAACTTCATAAAGCTCTGTACATCCTAACAAACCTGTCATAAGTCTCTCGACTTGAGCTGTTATGATGTGAATGCGACTAGCGAATTCTTCCAAATGCAGGTATACCTAGAAAAGAGATAACAACGATTTAGAGGCTAAGTTAAACAAACTGTCATGAAAAACAAACAAACAGTAGAGTGTTTTCACTCACGTGTGTTGATATACAAGACAATAGCAAAACATCGAACAAGTTTTGCATAATAATAGAGTCAAATTACCAAAGGACAATTTCGCTATTGTTCAAGCGAAAACACTCTATGCACCTTATTCCAAAATGGCCGCCAATTTAGTATTATTTTGTTTACTTGCAAATTAGCCCTTGTTGCCTCGTTTAAAGGAAAATATTCTTTTGAATTTCGAGTTTAAGAACGAGGCAACAAGGTGTTAATTTGCAAGTAAACAAAAGCATACTAAAATGGTGGCCATTTTGGAATAAAGTTTATTATGGAGTATTTTCAAGTTGGAACGGCAGCCATGTCCAAACTAATCCTCCGGGAATTGAACTCTATTCTTATGCAGACTTTTCTATTTGTTTAGGTTGAAAAACATGCTCATTGATCACGTGAGTGAAAACTCTATAAAAGTATGGGTGAAGTAGCGTATATGGGGCAGAGATCAACAGCGTGCTCATGAGAGTGAATATGCTGCATCACTGTAATTTTCTGTTTAAACTCCAGTGCAATTCCTCAATAATCGCCCTTTTATTTCTGGGATTTGTTACTCCGTTACTACTTTCAAAATAAGTAGGAACAAAGCCATCAAAATCGCGACAACACTTTTTTAAAGAATGATAATTTCTCTGCTTTAATACTGGAGATTATATACAAAGGACAAGTAGCTGAACTGTGGGCAGAAGAACGTATAGAACGACTCCATCGCTGTTATAAAAGCTTCTAACCCTAAGGAGAGCCTGAAAAAAAACTAACTAGGCTTGAACTAGAGTTGAGCCTATGACCTCTGCGATGCTAATGCAGTGTTTCACTAATTGAGTTATCAAGCCAACTGGGAGCTGGTCAGTCCTTTTTTGAGTTTGTAATGAACCTGTGGATGATCGCAGAGGTCATGGGTTCGAATTCTGTTCAAGTCTGGATTTTTTCCAGGCTCTCCTTAGGTTACTGCTTATGAACGCCAAACTTTACTCAAGCCAGGACCAGATTGTCTCCTTTAGGGGTCACAAAAAGCTTGAGCCACGCCCAGATGGTCTCCTTTAGGGGTTGAATTCAAATTTCCTTGCTTTAATGTGATTGGATATGACCTTTCATGTCACGTTGCGTGACGGCTCAAGTTTCAGTAAACTCACAAATTCATGTTAGGCCATCCCCATAAAATGTTTCGTTTCCCATCGCCCGATCGACCGACCCATTTTTGTGGAAAAGTAAAAAAAGAAAAATCAGAATCACTTGTAAAGAAGCAAGTACTTTAGTTTACAAGCACACGATCTTGTCTTATCAACACCAATTGTCTTAAATAACCATGGATACTTCGTTTTTGTAGCTTTTTTAGACATTTGGTAGTCCTGTTTCTGTTACCTCATCTGATTACGACCGAAAGGACCACGTAACCAAGCTTTCGTACTTAGCAGCCTTGCCTTCGCTGGCACTCAGAACCCTTCATGTTTATTTTTATTTTTTTGCCCGACCGACCGACCCACCTTCACGAGAGGGAGGGCGATGGGAAACGAAACATTTTATTGTGATGGCCTTATTAAAATGTCTCATTTTCACTTTTACTGGTAACGTTTTTAAAGCATAAAGGCTAATTTTTGAAAATGTTTCCTGGGTCTCATAAACCAAGTTGTAGCATTTGTTACGTTCTTTTCTTACTCAAGAAAAATATTTTTGGGCTCTGTTGTTGTTTCACAAAAGCCCTTTGAAACTTAACTAGCTGGAAAAATCGTAATTCTCTTTTAAAAAGCTACACCAACCCCTATTATACCGTTTTATTTCAAATCGTGTTATCAGTATTCCCTTCAAGCTCTGACGCCAGCACCCACTTTCACATTGAAACTCCTAGTTAAGTTATTAAGGAACGACTTAACTGTTTCAGATGCTCATATTACACTTAATCAAGAATCCTTTATCAGAATAAGTAAATATATAAATATTTTCTAAGTGCTCAAAGGAGGCATTTTTTAAAACCGACCTACCTTGATGATCTACCATTCTCGACATGGCCTTGGCAATGGCAGGGTCTTCACATGTCTTAGTCTGTTCCATCCGGGTGTTGATTTTTCTTACTTCTATGTTCTTCCGCGCCGTGTCGTCCCTGTACTTTTTCTTAACAAAATTCATTCGCACGGCATACCCATTGGCCTCTAAAAGGCGAACCCGAGATATAAATTCCATCAGGCTTTCCACGCTGCCTGTGGATTGCTGTCCGTGTTTCCAGGCATAAGCTTCATACAAACTTGTTTGGGTAAGCAAAGGTTTTCCGCAAACTTGCAAGCGCAGGCTGCCAAGAGCGTCCTCAAGATGGTCGTCTCTGGCGTCAATCTGACAACCAAAGAGAATAAGTGAATAAAAACCCAAGTTTCTCTAACATACAAATGCAATAATTGATTCCAAGATCATCAGGCTTAAATGCTTTTGGCAGAATTGCTAACAGAAAAGATATTTGTATAACAAGCACCATTGCTTCAAAGCGTGAACATTACGATTGACACAAAATGGGCGTGGCCTTTTCTTTATTGCTGCCGCAGCGAGTGAGCCTAAAGCGAACGAGCGAGGCAGCTCTTTAATCAGCAGAAGATTACATTATAGGGGCTTGCAATCACTTTTTCTTACTAAACGCAAGGGAATGTGGTTAGTGGAAGATTTAGGATGAGTAGTGGTATGCCGCAAGGAATTGTGGTTATGCGCGAATGGGAAGATTTAGGATGCGCAGCATATCAAAGTCACGTTTAACAAAAGGTCATGAAATTTATCTGCATCACGTCGAGTAACGTAAGCTCCTTTAAAATTATGAAGTTTTTGAACATTTTGCCTTCGTTTGCACAGTAAAACATAGAAAATGGAAAGAGGTCACATAGAGTAGGGAAGTTTAACATATTGAGCGTCAAGGCAATCCTGTTTCAGGGCAATCAGAAAAATATTAGGGTCGGCTTTTCGTGTCGGAATAATGCCGATTGTGGTTTGTTCTGGGAGACTAAAAGCGCAATTTCTCGTCACGCACAGATGTTTTCCTAAAAAGCCAATTGTTTTCAAAATCTACGTTGAATTTGGCGCGTTTTGATACCAAATTTTTCGCCGTTCGAAAAATTTTTCTTTCGGCCTTATGGCAGGGAAGTTTGGGAAGTGCGGTTTAAAAGTTCTCTTTGTATCCTGCGCTTTCATTTGCCGTGTTACAGAAGCGCTGGACCATGAAAGCACGAATGAAGATTTCAATGGTTGTAGCCGTGACAATAAACCAGTGTTCATTGAGGAAATCAACGAGTAAGGCCCAAGTATTTAAAACCGTAATATTTTCGATTGATTTCATTCAAAGATCTCCAAAACCGGTCATTTAAGTAATTTTATTTTGTTTCTTTATTTATTCTGATTTATTTAGCTATCTGATCTACTCTTTATCAAAAAAAGAGCTGAAGGGGAAGACGAAATTTACGATTCTCTCTGTCACGACTGTAAAGCTGGCCATGGAAAATGTTCATTCTTTGTTCTAAAGAGTCCTCATCGGGGACATACACCTTTTGAAGCCGCTCAAAAGGAAAATTGTCCTCATCGTAATCACTCCACTTATCTGTGTCGTGACCATGGCCTTTAAAGTCTTTTATTATACATCAGACTCACTATGAAAAATCAGATTGGTCGAGAGCATTCAATCAATTCACAATAGCTTCTGAACTTGACATGATAAATGCAATATCTGCTGAAGATATTGCATTTATCATGTCAAGTTCAAACATCTGCCTGGTTACTAAGCCCCTTGGAGTGTTCTCCTTTGAAACAAAATGGCTGAACTCTTCGCTTCTGTTTCTGAGGATGAATTATGTGAAAAATGTATAATAAAACAATTATTGAATTCGGGTTTCGCCTGACATCACGAATTATCAAAACCTCGTGTCTCATCCAATCAATTCTTCACTGTTAAGTTCATAGGGTTATTGCTAGCATACTTTATATTGTTTTCCCCTTCGACAGCATTATTACCATTTATGTATACTAGTTTAATGTATAGTGTTAGTTTCGTTGATGTGTGTTTGTTAATTTGTAGATGCTGGATAAATGAATAATATAATCTTACGGGCTTGGTATTCCATACCGGCTATCTATCTATGCCGCATGCAAAGATCTAGATATATTTCACCTTTTGAACTGAATCAAACTATGCTAAACGTTGGTGAGATGGCCACGTAATGATCCCTTTTCTTACAGAGCACCCTAATAAAAGCTGGATATCTTTACTTTTGATGCCAGCCTAATGGCTACTGTCTGGATAAAATCACAAACTTGTCTAAAAGCCAAGGGTACCCTGAGAGACGCTCTTGTACCCGGGAGAGTCAAGCCGTCGCCACATCACCTAAGAGTTTGAAAGCCTGAATTATTGTTACTGGAGTTATGAAGCCAGAGAAAGTGCGAGACGGCCATTCTCAAAATTTTTCCTCCCGCTATAATCACCTAGCCAGAGGTGATTATAGCGGAATATGACG